AGGATTTTATAATATGGATAGATATGACTGTCAAATAACACAAATATACTTTATTTGGGGGAAAAAAGTTTACATAAATAATGGGACACTTTGAGAACACTCTTGCTTAACCGTGTTGCTAAATATAAACAATGCCACTGTAAGTACGAACATCCTGTTCTTTAATGTGTATTTGAAGATAGGAAGACACCACTTGGTTTGAAAAAAAAAATGACCTCATGTTCAGGCCTGGTCACCTAAGAGTAAACAATGAAGAATGAATTCACCATTCATAGTTCTGATACTAACTATAGCAAATCCATGTTGTCTCTGTGTTTTGAGAGCTATGGAACATATATCTTCACTCACCCTCCAGGAAGGTTTGGGGCATCACAGTCTAAGTTAAGTTCTTGGCAGGCAGGATGGAAGGAGAATGTCAAACAAGTTTTACAAACCATTTAGAGTGAATTGCCAATGTTCCCTCTAAGTACATTAAGAAACAGGAAACAACTTAGAAGTTATTCTTCTCACTTTGATGCAAATCTTTTTTGTTTTTATTTATGCACTTGTCTGATTAATACTCTTATAGTACAAACTCTAGTAACCTGCCGCAAAGCATTAAAGCACAGTATGCCTATTGTTCCTTAGGCATCTGCATTTTTCAAGTTTTAAAATTTCTTCTACATTCAGACTGTGCCAGCAGTTCTTGAATATAAAAAATATATAAATGGGGTAACTATATTCTAAAAATGCAGATGCCCATAACACCATGTTATTAGGGGGAAAGGAATTTTTGGAAAAGGAAAAAAGCAACCAAGTTCACTCGGAAGGAATATGGTATAAGTCTTTGGATTAAAAAATGAGCAATAACACAAAACCCTCAAATTTCTCTCAGAGAAGCTGGTCATTATGGAATTTCCAGAAAACCCCTTTTTTCTACCAAAGGGACCTTAAAAACCTCATTCCAAATATTTAAAACTCTACAGCTACCAGGATGCCATTAAGTGGCAATCAGCAGTGAGAAGAGAAAAGATGTATATAGAAATGTCTTGCAGCAAAGCATCCTTAGCTATTGGTTGATCAGTAAAAACCACTGGTGTACCAGAAATGTTATTAAGCATAAGGGTGGGAGAGTATTGAAAACATTACCTGCCTGTTTGTGAGATGGCTTTCATGGCTAGGAAATTTTCTAACCAGTATATAAATTCTAGGACATATCTCTTTCTTTTTTTCAATGTTAAAAATAAATGAATTTTTAAAAATCCTGCAAGTAGATACAGTCACAATAGCAAGTTGCATGGCAAAGACCACACACACACACACACACACACACATACACACACACACACACACACACACACACACATACACACACACAGACACACCAAAAAAACCCATCAAGACAATGCTGTTGGTTCAATAGTATTCCAAGAGGCTACAACACCCATTAACTTTGAAAACCTTAGCAAAATACCATGCTTGTTTATAAACCACCTAACTTAACAGACCATACTTTGAATCTTTTTTTTTCCTTTCCTTTTTTGTTCTTGTTCTTGTTCTTCTTTGCATGTTACAATTGCAGAATTTCACATTCAGCCTTAAGCATTTAGCATTTCTTTGGCAATCTTGTGTCTAAGCCTCTTGTTCCAGTTGATTTTGGTGCCAGAGTGTGGAAGCTGCCAGTGCAAGGCCTTGAATATGGCATCTGACATTGTTTGATAGTTCTCATTAATCGAGGTCTGATACTCATTTTTGGCATATTCTATGATTTTAATAAGTTCCTTGGCATCATAAGTAACAGTTACTGAATCCTGTACATCTTTATGACTAATCAACTGAACATTGCCATCTTCCTAGTAGTGGACCTGAATCTTTAGCACTGCAACCACCTGAGCCAGGTGGTGTTATGGTAAATTTCCATTCTGTTCTCCAATGACCATTCTAGAAGTTTTTAGACTGAAATTTGTGGCTTTCAATACAAGCAATAATAGTCTTCTGCCTATTTCTAATTTTAGCATAAACAGTATAGAAGACATTGGAATAATGATCTTGTATATAATGCACTGTCATAAGATTCCCTCCATGACTTCAAAGCTCCATCTGTGTCCTCAGGTTGGGGGTCACTTGCTTATTTCCATAAGTGATCAAACTTAAAGGAAACTTTATTTCTTGGATCTAAAAATCTGCTACTACCCAGTTCACCATGTTCTGCAATTAAGACCTGATCATTACCTTCACTGGGTGAACTGATCTTTGTTATACAGGTCAAATCCACTAGCTATCCTTTCCCTGAGGAGATTGTCCTTATTAATTAGGAACCTGATATCATTAAATACTTCATTAAATTCTCCTCGGGGAATGTGAGTGATAAATTTAGCAGCTTTCTGTACCTTCTCCTCATCTGACACCAGATCCTTGAAATCAGCCATCTTGGGCTGCTCTCCATAATTCTTTTGAAATATACAAAAGAAATCCCTACCCCACCCCACCCCAGTAAAGATATTATTCTCTCATTTCCCCATCTTCTTCCTCTTCTTCGACACCTCTGATGTAAAGGTCATTATTGCACCTTATTAAAACTTCACCAAGGTGTCCAGACAATGCCCCATCTATGTTTGTTCATGTCATTTGAATACTTATCTAATGAGGAGTTATATTGGTCTTATATGCATCTGTTAGTTAGCTATATATCTTCAATATCAAACTCTTTTCAGAGAAATTTGATACAAAGTTATTTTTTTCTGATTCAACCTCTTCACTTCTTATCCTAGATGACTTAGTTTTGTTTGTGCAGAAGATTTTCAATTTCATGTAAAATTTTAAAAAATCTTTTGAAATTGCTTTCTCTCCTTTGCTTGCTTAAGAATACATCTACCCAAAAGCTATATGATCTACTTCTCCAATTTTTTGTAGTATGATCTTCAATATTCAGGTCATGAATCCATTTTGAATTCATTATGGAATATGGTGTGAAATGTTAGTTTAAGTCCAATTTCTACCAGATTCTTTCCAGTTTTCTAGTAGTTCTTATCAACTATGGAGTTCTTTCCTAAGTTATTTATACTTTGAAGTTTACTGAATATTGGGTTATTCAGTTCAATAAATTATTTTTAATTCACCCTCGTTGAGTCTGTTCCATTAATCTACTCTATTTTTTTTAAAACAAAATCAAAAGCTTTTGATGATTGCTGCTTGATAATATCTTTTGAGATCTGGCAGTACTATTCCTCCTTCATTCCTACCTTTTATTTATTATTCCCTTGCTATGGGAGATCTTCAGTTTCTACAAATGAATTTTTATTATTTTATTAAGTTCTGTAAAGTATCCCTTTGATATAGCAATAAAATCCTAAATTAACTTTGGTAGTATCAAAAAATTGTTAATGGCAGAAAAATTATTGATATCTACCACTCTTTCTGAACAATCCTAGTAATGTCAGAATTCCAGTAATGTCCTTGCATTCCTACTCTTGGAGAGCATTTGCTCTCAGTTAGGTTGAGTTAAGTCCCTTCCCTGGGACCTGCCAGTAGACAAAGCCAGCTTGAGTCAGATTGGCTGCCAAAGTGGTTTCTGATATCCTTGAATTCCCCACTGGGATTCATGGCATGAAGTGGAAAACAGCCAGAATGAAATGGTTTTCTTGCTCCAATTGCTGAGAGTGGCTGGCATCTCATGACCAGGCCTTGGGACCTCATACCTCCTCTTCCTTTTTTTCTTAAAAAAATAAGAACCTTTGCTGTAAGTCTCTTGGTAAGCCATTCCCCAGGGTGGAAGATTTTTGACCCCGGTATGTGGATTAAAGACACCTTATTCCTTCATTTATGAGCTTGATTTATTTAAGGACTTGACAGTAGTATTGTCATTTTTTACTATATTTATGGCATGGTCCAGCCATGAGCATTGTATAGTACTTCAACTATTTAAAGTGTTCTTTATTTCTTTAAGAAGCATTTTGTAATTGTAGCTACACAAGTATTTCTTGCGCTTTGGTAGATCACTTCCCAAATATTTTATGAATTTTACAGTTATCTTGATGAGATTGCTCTATTATTATTGCCTCTTGGACTTTATCATTATTATATAGATATGCTGTTGATTTTCATGGGTTTATTTAGTAGCCCAAGACTTTACTGAAGCTACCCTCTCAATATCTTTGCTGATTTCCTAGGATTTTCTAATGCAATATAATTATGTAACATTTGAGTATTTGATTTGAATCCAGAAGTCTGCTATGCCCCTTTTGCCTCTGTGATTTAGGCAAATCACTTCTCTGGCACAGTTTCCTTCCTCTGTAACAGGAGGAGGATGGAAGGGAAAGCTTCTCTGATCCTTTTCTACTCTATATTTATGGTCCTACACTCTCAAGAATGACTCTATGTACACTGACCCTCCAAAATGAAATCGTCTATTTTCAGGGCAGGTCTTATTGTTAGTAACAGAATAGCTGTCTTTTTTTCTTTTTCTTTCTTTTCTTTGTTTCTTTCTTTTTTTTATTATCTTCCTTACAGGCATCCGTGCAGTTGAATAAGTAAATAAAAAGGAACAAACACAAAACCGTTAATTAAGATTTAATCTCTTATTATCCAGATGGCCCCTCTGAAGAAAAGCGTACACAAAGGCACACAAGCTGGCTAAACCTGAGACTGTTTGTGGGTCTGCTTCTACCCTTTTGATTTTAATGGTAGGCTAAGGTGCTTAGGAAGAGCTCCCGAAGACAGCTCAGGTAGATACATCCGGAATGAATGAAATCTTTCTTCTATCCCTGGAAACCTCCCGGTTGCCGCCTGCCTTCCCTATAATGAGACCGTCTTAGAGTTCAGGTAGACTTCACTCCTCCTTTCTCTCCCTCTTCTTTTCTCTCCTCTCCCCCAAGCCTCCTCTCTTGGTCCCTCTCCTCCCCCCCGCCACGGGCTCAGAGCTCTTTATGACGCGAGTGGCCGTCAAGTCCAGTGAGGGCCCTGGGTAGGGTAGGATGGAATGTAAGGGCGGGGCCAAAGTGTATATAGCTTCCCGCAGGGTCACAGAATTGGTGAGCGTTGACGACCCCCGCCTCCAAGTGCTTCTGAAAGTGCTGAAGATCGCTTGGGGAGCGCGAACCCGCCAACCGTGGGAGGATGAAGCGGTTTTCCGTTGTGTTCCTCCTGTTCGTGATGCTTCTGACTGAGAACTTCACAGGTAGAGGGGACAGTTGGGACTGGCCAGTGCCCTCCTTACCTGCTCTTCCCTTCCACCCCCCCAACAAGAAAGGGGAGGGAAGAAAAAATTTAAGGGATTCCCATCTACTGAACACCTTCAGGGGAAGAGGTACCGGTGCTGGGCAAGGTAGAGGAAAGAAGGTACTTGCCTTAGGTTGGGCTTGCTTCTACATCTGTGAAAAGAGGGGCAGTTGGATTAAACCTCTGTCCAAATCCAGTATCCTGGGGTTGTATGGCATCTGTTGCCTTTAGAAAAGAGAGATTAAATAAATGGCTTTCCAGGGTCACCAAAGTGTGCCAGGGCTAGACTTGAACCAGACTTCAAGGACAACTCTCTCTCCACTAAAGCCGCATCCTCAGACTTAAGTTGCAGAGATGGTGAGGATTTAAATTGGTTGAGAAAGTTTGAGCTCTCTGCACTGATGAAATCAGAGGTCCGGTCCCATCCCACCTCGTGGAGTGTTAGAGAACTTTCTCCACTACTTTTTGGACAATGGTGACCAGGTCCTGCCTGGTGAGGAAAAGATTTCAGAAGTCAAGCACCTAGCTAGAAGTTTACTAAATGCCTTTTTTTCACCTTCAATTCCCCTACCTTCTCTATGTGAATGCTTTTGTCTCTTTACTGTTTACTCTTTACTGTCTATTTACTCTTTACTGTTACTTAGAGCAGCTGGGGAAATGGAGATTTCTCTGGAAATAAAGACCAGGAGTTTTGTTTTTTTTTGTTTTAAATAACAAAAATGATCCTACCAAATGTGGGTGAACTCTCTCTCAGTACTTGAAGGTGAGGAAAATTTGCAATAACTGTATTTGTAAAGTACTTTAGGACATCTACAGTATTTCTAACAATTGTATATCCATTCTTTGCTTGAATGCTTCCATCAAGAAGAACTCACTATTTCATCAAGTAACCAGCCTATTCCACTTTGGGTAACTAATTTTTAGGAAAATTTTCCTTACATTAAAGCTAAATTTACCTCTTTCCTCTTTCACCCAAGACCCAGAGTCTGCCTTCTGAGATGAAGCACTGTATGTCTAATAATCCCTCTTCAGTGTGATAGCCCTTAGAAAACACATGAACACAGACATTATGTCCCCTCTGTGTCTTCTCTTCTCCAAGCTAAAGATCCGAAGTACCTTCAACTAAACTTCATGTGCCTGATCTTGAGGCTTTTTTCTACCCAGGTGGCTTACCTCTGGAAGCTTTTCATTTTATTATTGTCTTTTGTAAAATGTGGCACCCTCTAGATAACATTTTAGTTGTAATCTGGCCAGGACACAGCCAATGAAGATTTATTAAGTGCCTACTATGTGCCAGGCAACCATATTATTACTTCCTTCATCCTAAGAGACACTGTCTTCAGTTCCCTAAGATTATATGAATTTTTCTGGCTACTGTGTCACATTTGACACTTATCAAGTTTGTAGTACACTAAAACCCGGGCTCTTTTTCAAACAAACAGCTGCTGTCTAGCCACGCCTTCCCTATCTTGTACTTGACAACTTGACAAGTTAAGCTTAGGTTAACTTGTGTCTTATGTGTTGAGTATCAGTGATACACCGAGTGTTGTCAAAACAAAATGTAGAATTAAAGCGAATCCAAGTCAGATGATACTTTAAAGAGCTTCCGTTTGGTAGGGCATAGAGTTTAAGTAAAATTGGGTAACTTTGATTATCTGGCTTTCAGTTCAAAGCCACCTAGAACAGGAGTGTTAATACCTTTAGCATAAATAATTTCCACGTTGAACTTTACTCTGTTGCTCAAAACTCGGATAAACTAGGACCGCTAAACACACAAAGAGGGTGACTTAACAATAGGAATAAATGTTCTACCTGCCAGGCTTCCGAGGGAAGTGTGAGATAACAACCAAATTCCAAGCAAGGCTAAATTTGGGAGGGGGAGGGAGGGGTGTTTTAGAAAGATATGGTTAAGAATAAAGGTCCTAGACCAGGATACACCTGAAAATGAAAGCATCGATGAAAGATTACCAAATAAAAACTTATTTAAGGAATGCTTATGAAACAATGTTCTTTGATTTCTTTTAGTGGCTTCAATCTATACTTTCTATGATGGTGAGAGCACCTCAGGAATAACAGTAAGTAGAAAATAACTTTTCTTGTTTCCATTTATGATAAAGTGTCACAAATTAGACTCGAATTTCATTAGGCTTCTAGAAGCATTTGAAACTCTCAGCCTCCTTTCAGACACTAATGTCTTTACTAGGTAAGATATAGATACAGATAGGTGTATGAGTTCCATTAAAAAGAACTACAGCTTGAAGGTCTAGGGAATGATTTTATTTTCCCAATTTTCTTAAGAACGCATGAATGTATTCATATCACACAATAGGATTTATTGACTCTAAAGCTGGAAGGGAACTTAGAAATCACTTTGTTCAGTAATTTTGATTGTGTCTGACTTCATGCACTCACTTTGGGGTTTTCTTGGCAAAGATACTGGAGTGGTTTGCCATTTTTTTTCTCCAGATTATTTTACAGATGAGGAAACTGAGGCAAACAGGGTTAAGCAACTGCCAGGGTCACACGGCTTGGAAGTGTCTGAGGCTGGATTTGAATTCAAGTCTTACTGATTCCAAGCCCAGGGCTCTATCCACTGTGCCATCTAGCTGCCCCTTAGTATGATTATGTACAAGCATGGTATAGTTTTGTTTTTTTTTTAAACTGGACATATGGTTTCATTAGTCAGTCAATAAACTTTTATTAAGAACCTACTAAGGAGCAGCTAGATGCCTCAGTGGATAGAGCACCAAACCTGGAGTCAGGAGGACCTGAGTACAAATCTGACCTCAGATGTTGACTAGCTGTGGGACCCTGGGCAAGTCACTTAACCCCAATTGCCACCCACCCACACACCCACACACTACAGAACCCACTATGTGCCAAGCACTGTGCTAAATGCTAGGGATACAAAGAAAGGCAAAAAAATAATCCTTGTCCTCAAGGAGTTTACAATCTAAAGAAAGAAGACAACATAAAAAGGAAATAGAATAACGGGGCGGGGGGGAAGGTAGGGGAGAAGGTACTTGGCTGGCAGGTAAGATGGATAAGTCCAGGAAATGCCTTACTAGGGCTCCCTCCTTAAATGGACGTAGTGGAGAGAGAGCTCTCTATCCCCTCTAATCAGAAGGGGAGCTGGGGGTGGGAAACAGTCAAGAGTAGAGCACTGATGAGGTGAGTTCCAGGACATAATCTAGGAGGATGAAGAGGTTTCTAGAGGGGAATTTTGGCACAATAACTTCTTTTCATCAATGTAGATTAGCAGCTCATCTCTAATTAATAATCTCTGAGAAGTTCCTGAGACACTGAGAGACTTACTTGTGGTCACACCCCTAGTGGGTGTCAAAGGCAGTTACCTGAACCTAGGTCTTCTTGACTCCAAGGATGGCCCTCTGTCTCCTCTGGCACTCTGTCCATCATGGTGTCATGACTGCCACTTTGATGATAGAATCATACCTGAAACTGATTAAGCTCCTAAAACTGGGAGTGTGAGAATACTGTCAGGGCAAATATAATTTAACTTCTGGTACAGTAATGAGCATGGGCCTTGGATCACCAAGCACTCAGACACAGTTTGTTATAGTTTGAATTATAGAGATTCTACAGCAATATGTAAGTTGTTGACTTCTGAGTCCTCAGTGGTCCCACCACCTAGTAGAGTACTGTCACGGTCAAGAAGGGAGAGAGCCCATTTCTCCCCACCCCCAGGGAGCAAGGCCTGGAAATGGAGATTGAGAGGTGGCACTAGCAAATTTCATGCTAGATAATGAGATTTGCTTCCTAACTTCCTTAATCCTCTAAACCTAGCTGTCCACTATACAAGTGGCATACCTCTAACCCTAGGGTCATAGATTTAAAGCTAGCTCAGAGAGATCAGCTAATCCAATCCTTTTATTTCCCAGATGAGGAAAATGAGGCTGAGAGAGATGAAGTATCTTGTTCAAGATTGCACAGGTATTAAGTGTTGAGGCAGGATTTGAACTCTCTCTCCAAAAATTTTATTTTTATTTTATTTTATTAAAAATTTTTTATTTTTAAAAAGAGGCTGTGTGGTACACTGCAAAAACTTTTCAATTTTATATAATCAAAAATTTTTATCCATAACTAACATGTAAATCAACATTGCTTCTTAAGCAATACTCCCAAGATTTTATTAAAAGGAATTAGTCACCCTTTACTGCCCATGCCCAGAAGACAAGCAAAGCTGAAAAATTGAATGGATTCCTACATAGCTTTCTATTTTATATTGTTAGAAAAAAGCAATTATAGTCACAAATTGTTGACTCAAATGATCTTATAAAATATGGTGCCTACTCTTTTCTCTCTAGACAAATTCTAAGGCTTGAATATGACTTGCTATTACAAAGGTGTACTTTCTGATTATCTGGCAAAGCTTCAGATAGTTCTTTTTAAAAAAAATCACATATCCATTTAAGTATTGAAATATAAAAGGGAACATCCTATGATATTCTGCTATTTGAAAAACATTTTATCCCAGGCTTTTCTCTAATTCTCTCTTTTCCTAGCCCGACTGCAAACAGTATTCCCTTCCAGGATGTCCAAGAAACTTAAACCCTGTATGTGGAACAGATTCCATAACCTATGGCAATGAATGCCTACTTTGTCAGAAAATTAGGTAATGTATGACAGCAATGGACCCCTCAAGTCCATTCCATACCCCTGTTCCCTCTTAGCTTCTTGATAATTTAGGAAATAAGGTCTTAATTCTTATTAAGTAAAGGAATCAGATGTTGAGTGGTTTTTATTCCCAGAATGACTGCAGGAATCAGGCTTGAAAAGAATGGCTATGGTTGATGTTTCTCTGCTGTCTTAAGCTAACAAAGGACAAAAATCAAGAACTTCAGATAACAGGGCTTAGAGATGGAAGAGATCTTCTAGTCTAAACACCTTTAGGTTTATAGGGATAAATTTCAGAGGATGGAAAAATGATCAGTCTTTTCTGTTTGTTCCCCAACATAAAGCAGTAAATAGTCTCTAAATTTTTTCAATGAACATACATTTATTTTCTTCCCTCCATTTCCCCCACCCATTGAAAAAGAAAAACAAAATCTTTGTATCAAATATGCAGTCAAGCAAAACAAATTCTGATCTTATGAACTTCAGTAATCATAGTTTAAATTTGTATAGTTCTTTTTTAAAATTAATTTATTTTTAGTTTCCAACATTCGGTTCCATAAGATTTTGAGTTTTAAATTTTCTCCCCCTCCTACTTCTCCCCCTCCCCCAGACTGCCCAACAATCTGATATAGGCTCTACTTATACATTCATATGAAGCATATTTTCCCATTAGTTGTGATGTAAAGAACAATTAGAACTAATGGGAGGAACCACAAAAATGAAGCAATAAAACAAAACAACAAAGGGAAAAAGAGAGCAAATAGTGTGCTTCCATCTGCATTCAGATTCCATGTTTCTTTCTCTGGGTGTGGACCTCAATTTCCCTCACGAATCTTTGGAGTTGTCTTAGATTCTTGCATTACTGTGAAGATCCAGGTTTATCAGAGTCAGTCATTCCATAATGTGGCTGTCACTGTATGCAATGTTCAGTATATAGTTCTTTAAGATTTGCAAAGTGGTGTACACACATTATCTTACTTGACTTACAGCATCCCTGGAAAATAAGTGATGTTATCACATCCTATTTAACATATTGGGAAACTGGGTCTCTCTCAGAGAGAGTGAATGACCCATCACACTTTTCATAGCTAATCAAGACCTTGAGGCAGGATTCCAACACCTCAAGTCTTTCTGATGCCAAGAGACATTCATTCTTAGCCAGTGTTGTTAAACCACACTATCTCTTTGCGTGGAAGTACTAGTCAATGAAAACTCTAAATATTTATTTAGTTCCCTGTACTTGATGTACCTGAAGAACTGACCCAAGACTAGATAGGTACTCACAGTTCCTGCTTTAAAACCCCATGGTCTTAGTGTTTAGGTATTGCATACATTTAAAGTCTCCACACACTCCCTACCAGGCACCCCACCCCACCCGCAGTCAGGCCTTCCTCCACAGAGAGAAGTTATGGACATGTCAAGGTGCTCCTTGTTGAAAGAAATCCAAGAAGGAGGTACGAGTACTGAACTTGTCTTTTCCCCCCTCCGCCCATTGCACGAGTTCTTTAAAATTGAGTACACACCCGCCTTAGAGTATAATGGTACACAGCATGCAAAGACACGAGTAGGGGTGGCGTTTTGTTTTGTTTCATTTTGTGGTGGGGTGAGCCATGACTGGGAACCTCTGTTCTGTTTGCAGGGAAGAGAACCAGAACATTCAAATCAAGTGGAGAGGAGTGTGCTGATGGTTCAGCAGATGCAAAGAAAATACGGCTGAGAGAAAACACTTTAAAATGGGAGAATCACCTGAAACTTTAGCTTTTACTTTTCAAGTTTCATAAATTTTCTTGACTCTCTTCCCTACTGTTTCCCGGAAGATTTATTACTAAGATCTATTTGAGGAGGGGATGTGGGCAATTAGGCTTTTCATATCCCTGTGGTTTGTTTGTTTCGCTGGGTCTCTCTACTGCGGCTGTAGTTAAGATCTTATCTGCCCGATAGTTTCTGCGCTGTCTCTAAGCCTGAATAAAACCAGCATTCCGCTGCAATGTGAGGACGTCACTGCTCACTCTGCAACACGTCAACCACCTTGCTTCACCCGCAGCATTCCCTTTCAAGTGAAGGTACATTTCATTGGTCAGGAATAGCCACCCTTTCAGAAGGCGAGATATCTGCCTTTTCACTTCTAATTTTCTAACATGAATATTTTGTGGGGAGCTAGTCCTGTGCTCTGAACACAAACGGTCAAGAATTTGACACTTGGCTAAAGTTGAAGTTAGCAAGTCACAGAAACTTAGATAGAAAGTGGTTTTGGGGTCCAGTAGCCTTAGCTGCACAGCCCCACCTTTAGAGTGGATGGAGGAATTTCCCCTTCCTACTTTTGGTTCAGAATATAGAGGCTGAGAATTTTATCCAAGTAACAGGAAGGATGGTGAAGTGAGTATAAAGTTGGCCTCGGAGTCAAAGAAGATATGAGTTTGAGGCTAGCCTCTGACATATCCTAGCTATATGACCCTGAGCAAGTCACTTATTCTGCTAGCATCCTTTAGGCAGCTCTCTCCAAGACTAAATGGGAAATTCCTCCCATAATCCAGTTTAAAAGAAAGTGGAAGGGGAGGATGGTAATGTTTATTTTGGTCTAAAAATTCCACAGCCTTAGTAAATCATATCCTGTTTACCTTGATTTTTTTTTTTTTTTTTGGTGAGGCAAGTGGGGTTAAGTGACTTGCCCAAAGTGACATAAGCTAGTGACTGTTATCTGTCTGAGGCTGGATTTGAACTCAGGTCCTTCTGACTCCAAGGACAGAGCTCTATCCACTGGGCCACCCAGCTGCCCTCCTACTCTGATTTTTAAATTAAGCAGTTCGTCCATGTCCTTTGCAGAGACTTCACACAGAGCTTTGTGGATTCCCATCATTTTAAAAGAGACATATTTTCTAAAGTGCTCTTTAAATCAACAGGACCCAGAAACATCCATAGTTATCTCTTCTCTGGGGGGTAGTTGGTTTCCCATTGGCCCCTAGCCCAGGATTAATGGTTGCCATAGGACTCACACAGCATCCTGGTTATCTAGTCCTGGATTGGCATCGTACTCAGAGCCTGCTATAAGAAATCCTTGTCTCTATTTAGGTTCAAAGTCAGTTGGAGGCTAGATGTCCCAAATAAAGCAATATAAACCTAGGGTTATGGAGGTGAGCCTCCCTGGAGGCTTGGCATTTACATTACAATATGAAATCACCTGAAGCATCAAGCTCCAATATGCCAACCTGAGAGAATGGCAAGAGGGTGGGGGAATGCAGGCATAAAGATCATAAAACTCAACAAAAATCAAGCTGTCTCAATCCCACAAGAAACACAACTTGGAGCTATTACTGTACCCCACCTCTCCCTTGCAAACATGCCTCTGTGCCCTCCAGTGACTGACGGGCAGCATCACACCATTCCCAAATTCTTTGCTGTGTGTGTGTGTGTGTGTGTGTGTGTAGCGTAAAGGCATGAATGAAAAGGCACTGCAGAAACTAGGCAATTGAGATTTAGAACTCAAATTAACTTGAGTCCTATTGGCCACATAGGTCAATTTCACACACCACTACCCTCTCCATTTTACAGATGTGAAAACTTAAATTTCCCAAGGAACTTAAATTCATTCAATAATGTTAAGTACTACAATGTGCCAGGCACTGTGCTAAGCACTGAGGATACAAAAAAGTAAAAGATGCCCTCCCTTAATGGAGGAGACAACATGCAAACAAATGTAAAGCAAATTGTATCCAGGATAAATAGGAAATAATTGAAAGAGCAAAAGTACTGGAATTAAGAGGAGTTAGAGGAGGTTTCCTGTAGATGGTGGGATTTTAGTTGGGACTAAAGTATTTCACACAGGTAGTAAGCATCTTAGATCTGATTTGAGCCCAGGTCTTCTGACTCCTTTCTCTTTCCATTGTTCTATGTCGCCTCTCAAGCTAATGGATAAGAAGTAGCTTAAGCACTTTATGAACATTTATGCTTTGTCTCTAAGGACCCAGGCCAGGAGTCCTCAGCAAATGAAAAACTACTTGCCCACAAGCAAACAATACAAACTGCATCCTGACTTCTTTCCTTCTTCCCCAGAGTACTAACTCCAGTCAGCAACCTCACACCCCACAAGGGAAACGAGGGTCTTGTCCCATTGGCCCAATAGCCAAATTCATTTCTTCCTATGTCACCCTACCTCTAAAGATTTAGAACTGGAAGTCACCTTAGCAGCTAGTGCAACCCCTCTCATTTTGCAGATGAGGGAATTAAGGCTCAGAAAGGCTAATAATCCATTTAGACATGAATACATTTTAATGTTGGCAGAGTGTTTTCCTTGTAACCTTGTGAGGTTTCTTAGCCCCATTTTGCAGATGAGGAAACTGAGGTTAAGGGATTTGTCCAAAGCCATGCTGTTAGTAAGGGGCAGACCCAGGATTTGAACTCAGGTTCACTGACTCGGGCTGCTGCTTATAAAGAGCAATGCAGGGACCGTCCAAGGATGTGTATTCACTTGAGAGCCATGAGCATGTGCCCAGGAGAATAGCAGTCCAGAGATACACGCTCCTCCTCCAAGGTGTTAAGTGTTTCCATATGTGACAATAAAACTAAGCTCCTGGATTCATACCAGAATATGTGCCAGCCACCACATATTTTTCTCAGTGTTCCTTGGGGCTACCCACTCCACCAAGGAACCAAATATATGGAATCAGTGTTCTCTTCTGTTAGCCCTGTCAGAAACTTGTATATCCCTTGGGAAACATGGGCATGCAGCTATCAAGCGGAGCCAGCTGTCCTGACCACTAAGGCATGAGGGAAGGTGGGGGTTATTTTAAAGCTAAGCAAAGAGTTGGAGTCACTCTTTTTCTATTGATGGCTACAGTGTGTGGCCAAGCTCACATCTTCAGCTAGAGCAGACCTGCACAACTTGGCAGGAGGTAGAGGTCAAAATTAAAATAGGCTGAACTTCTTTGGGATGAAGATAGGTTTTTAGAGGCTCACTTTACAAATAAAAGTATAATTAATGATTAAAGTATTTTGCAACTCATATTTTTAAAAAGGGAAATTTCAATTAATATCAGTTATTTACACGTATTAAAATTTTTATCATGAAATCACATTAATGTTAAAAAAATTACTTTGCTAAGCAGTACAAGTTTTAATACATTTTCCAGGTTTTCTTATTATTTCCACTTAGTTAATGGGATGTATTACACTTCTTGTCAGCAATCAGTTTTTCATCAGCTTCTCTTCACTGCACAATCATGCATGACAAACTTATATTCTCAAAAACGCTTTTTTTATTGGGACATAATCCAGAAACTGCAACCAGCAAACACTTCTTTATGAAGTCATACTCAGTAAAAGACTTTCCAGAGCAGTAATTTCTTTAGAAATCTGAAAACTAACCTTAGTAGCTGCCTCATTTTCTGAGTTTACTTTCTTGAAAAACGTGTTTTCCACTTCTTTTTTTCTTTTTGGTGAGGCAATTGGGGTTAAGTAACTTGTCCAGGGTCACACAGCTAGTAAGTGTCAAGTGTTGAACTCAAGTACTACTAACTCCAAGACCAGAGCTCTATCCACTGTGCCACCTAGCTGTCCCCACTTCCCTTGCATTTTTCAACAATTTGGATGTTTTATTTTTCATTAGTGTCCAATTTGCTTAAGTCAGGATTTTTTAAATTTTTAATTAATTTATTTTGATTTATCAATAATTACTTCCATATGCTTTTGAGTTTAAAATTTTTCTCCCCCTCCCTCCCCACCACCCTACCCAAGACAGCCCACAATCTGATATAAGCTATACATACACATTCCTATTAAACATATTTTCACATTAGTGATGTTGTAAGTAACAATTAGAACCAATAGGGGGAACCACCAGAAAGAGGAAACAAAACTGAACAGAAGAAAAAAAATGGTAAATAGTATGCTTTGATCAAGTCAGGATGTTTTGATTCAAAATGGCAATGAAGACTATTCCTTCGGAACGGTTATTACTTCTTGACAAACAAGGCACAATATTTTGTCTCTCGTGTAAGTTAACAAATATTTATTTGTCCACTCTGGATTAAACACTCTGCGTTTTCATTTGATCTTCCATTTTTTATCACTCATTTTACAAAGTCACCCCAAAAACTTTTATGTTAGAACCAAAAAATCTCCACAGTAAGTGCTCACACACAAAGATATGCTGAACTGAGTGTCTGACCTTGGAGAGAGCACCAGTCATGTAACTCAGAGGGTGGACACACAGCAAGGGAGGGGAAGAAGCCCTCCGTGGTTGCCACTCATTGCATGACGGGTGCATTGGCGTGTGACTACATTCTCTTTGTCCCTGTTCAACACCAGCAATGACTGAAAACAGCAAAAAAATATGACTCTTGCTCCTCTCAGACTAGAAACAGCCAGTTGGTTGCCGAGGGTCACGTGATAAACAGTATGCACTGGCAACCCACCTGCCACGTTACATGATGGGCACAATAATGACTAGTGGAAGGTGGGTTAAGTCGGGGATGGACCAAGCACTCGTTTCATCTTTACCTTCTTTTACATCCTCTACATTTTTCGAGAGCCATTCAAAATCCTTTGGTAGGCCTCAAGTGGCCCATGGGTCATAAATTGTGCAGGTCTGAGCTAGAGGAATGACTCCTTTAGGAAGGACTGTTCTGCTGGAGCATTTAGAATGGAAGAGGAATGTAGGGTGAAGAAATACCTCTAGGTTAAAATAAATAAATAAATAAATAAAAGACATACCTCTAGGCTGCAGCACTCAGAATGTGAGATGGACTTCCTTGTTCCCTGAGAGTAGGTATTTCATCACTTTATGGTGCTCCAGGTTATGGCTTACCTGAAAATTTAAGTGAACATCAAACTGTAAGCACTTTGCATCTTTGACTACACTCCCTTCATTTTCTGCTTTACTATTTGTAGCCCCAAATCTGTGGTTGGGGTCCACAGGAGGAAATTGCCAAGACTTAGGGCCTGCTCTGAGACCAGGTCCTTGCTTCCAGTGGTAGAGAAAAATTGTGGGTAGGGCTT